ACAATTTGTGAAACTGAGACTTTTTCTGTAAAGGCCAGGCTAGTTTTGGACGTTGAAGTAAGTATACTCACAGTCATTTTGTTTCAACTCACATTCATTTTATTTCAACTCAGCAAACTTTTTTTTTTTTGAGGCTGACTTTGCACCTGACACTGTGGTAGGTGTTTTGGATCCAAGTCTCAGCCCTCAAGGGACTCACTGTTTCCTGAGGTAGCCAGACAGCCATATGACAGTGTGATGATTGTTCTGATGTATTGGAGTACAGGATGCATTAGAGACTGAGGAAGAGAATACAAAACTCTAGAAGAAAGAGATACTCATCAGGTTTTCAAAGAGCAGAAGACGTGACATTAAATCTTCACCTTGAAGGGCAAGCGGGAGCAGCAAGCGGAGAAGGGAGAGGAAGCGATTCCAGGTCTAAGGAAAGCACACACCAGGGCTAGGAGCATGCGCATCTGGAGAATGGTAAACCATTGCTGATGGCCTCAGCCTAAAATGCCGCCTATAGATGGGACAGGCCATCATGGTGTGAACTTCTAGGAGGAGTCTTCATGGAGGAGTTTCGATTCGAGATTACCCTAGAAAATAGCCATGAGGATGTTATCCCAAATGAGAAATATAAACATCCCAGAAAAAAACAAATAAACTGAAGTATCATCAGAGACACACTTCTGAAAGCTTTTGTTGTCTTCCCAGATCTGAATATTTGAGTGCTCGTCTTAGATGCACTCAGAGATCACCAACACAACATTTTCAACAGACGAAAGGTAGTTTAACGTCTACTACCAACACAGAACATTGGCATTATCTCGAAAGGGAAAGGCAAAGCCAGACTGGGGTGAGAATTGCAACAACTTTCATGTGTAATTTTGGTTTAAGGCAATCATTTCAGTGTAGGAGGCTCTTTTCAATTTTATTGGCACTGGCTAAGGACTGTGATGTACTAATAACCTGGGAATGGCATAAACAACAAGGGAAGGCTTTCTTAGTTGTATAAAGTAGGAGTCTCATTGTTACATTTTTATACATGCATATTCTAACTTTTACTTTCAAATACCTGATTTATTTCATATGCGTATCTATGTATGTGTGTATATATGCCATGCCACTCATGTGAAGGTCAGAGACAAACATGCAGGAGTTGGTTCTCACCTTCAGCATGTAGGTCCTCGGTATCGAACGGAGGGCAGGAGGGCTGGAGGCAAGCACTTCTACCCACTGGGCCATACTGCCCTCACTCATATTGCGCTTTGATTGTATTCACAGTCATTACCTTCTCTTAACCTACCTTCTGAGAGAAGAAGAGAAAGAGGAGGAGGCAGCTCCTGGCAGGGACAGGTTCATTTCTCAAGAGAGCACACCTCTCTTGTAGGCTGGGGCTTTTATGATGCTAGGATGGGAGGCTGGCCCAAGTGGGGAGCTGAGGTACAGTTTGGCCAGGTAGTGTGCTAACGGTTAAGCCAGGATGGGCAGGAATGGTATCAATGGTGTTGGCTTGGGGGAACTGTGGGAAACTGAAATCTCTATATACAGAAAAACGATGCTATTCCAGTTGGAATGTAATCACAGGAGGGTGGCGTGGGGACGTGGAATAGGGTTGGTTCCTGCCTGTCAAGCTGCAGTAGGGCCTGAAATAAACACCGTTCTCACAGAGTCACGTTCTTGTTTTCACAGCTCCCTCATAACTAATTCCCTAATAGTTCCTCTCTACTTCCATGTCAGCTTAAAAACCTATTTATTTATTTATTTTAGGTTCTCCACATGAGTGGCTAAGACTTTTCTGATTGGGCAAAACATGTGTAGATATTTGTCATGCAATGTGAAGGCTCACAAAAGGATTGCCTTAGCCAAAAAGAATTGAAATAATCAAGTGGGTAGGATGACTTGTTCTATAGATATAAGCTAGCCTCATTCCTTCACTGCTCCTGTTATTGACTTTGTTTGTTGAGCTAAAACAAACAAAACAAAAACAAAAACAAAACAAAACAAAACAAAATAAAAACAAAGATGTCATCATGGCAGGAATGGAGGCCATGCTTGGATTCAATGGCATGGACTTTCAGTTGCCACGGCCAACCTAGTTATGACTCCCACTGAGAGTTCCATCTTCCAGGAGAAGAGATCAATACCCAATCTCTGATGTGGCACCATTCCAAGGGGTGAACGACCAGCTTCCTGGCAATGAGTTTATTGTTTGCATTGTGGAATTGCAGTGTTTTATTCTTACTAGAATGGATACTTACTCTAGACAGGGAATTGCCTTCCTTGCTCACAATGTCTCTGAGAAAACTAATACCTGTATTGTTATAGACTTTGCCACCGACATTATAATATTCTACTTGATATTCCTTCTGATGTCAAAGCTGAAGAAGTATGGCAATGAACCTATGGACAAGGAATTCACTGGACTTGTCATGCTTCTTAGCATCCTGAAACAAGTGGGATCACAAAATGATGGAATGGCCTTTTGGAGACAGAGTTACAGCTGCAGTACCTAGGTGGTGATACATTGTAGGGCTGGGATGAATAGTCATAGTTGTCCTGAATTAGCTCTCAATATACAGTATTGCTTCTCTGATAGCCAGTACTCATGGGCCCAAGAATCAAGGGTTGGAAATGATAGTGGTACAGTTATCCCAGTTGACCCACTACCAAAATGTTTTACTTCCTGTTCCTGTAACTTTCTTGGCCCAGAGAACTCAATTCTTGAAGGCATAATCCCTCGGTTAGGAAGAACAGTGATGATCTCACTTTTAAGACCTTCACATACCTTGGGCTCCTGATGCTTCTGAGTCAACAGTCATTATCTCAGCTGGGGTGATTGCTTCTGATTATCAAGGGAAAACTGGAGTTACAGTGGAGGTAATGATGAGGGCATCTGGTGCACAAGGTATCCTTTGCCTCTTTCTGTCACTCTGCTTTGTGACCAAGGCCTATGGAAATATACAACAACCCAATCCAGTTCCAACAGAGTACTGTTCAGATTTCTCATGAATGAAGGTTTGCATTATGATAGGAGGTAAAAAAGGAGTTATCATCAGCCCAGCTCCTTGCTGACAACAGAGAAAATATAGAATGGGCATTGAAATAAAGTATCTATAATACCAGCCACAGCCACATGCTGAGTTAAAGAAATGAGGACCACTGGCTGTGATGAATATTTTCTCCCTGATTTTGTTAAGGTTTGTGTATTCATGTAGATATTACATTTTCTGTAGAATTAATTTTTCTCATTGTTCTGACAAAGTAGCTGAAAAAAATCATCTTAAGGGAGGAAAGGTTTGGTGTGGTTTTGGTCCATCTTGGCAGGGAAAGCATGACAGTGGGAGCATGAGGTGACAGGTCACTTTGCTTGTGTTGGTAGGGAGAAGAGAGAGATGAGAGCTGGCACTCAGTTTCCTCTCTCTTTACTCCTTTGGGGACCTTGGTCCATGAAACAGTGCTGCCTACATTCAGGGTGGGTTATTCTTTGTCTTCTATACGTTTCCGTGAACAACCACAGAGATGTGTTTCCATAGTGATTCCACACTTAATCAAGTTAGTGATGAAGTTTAACTGTTACCAATAGTATCTTTGTTTTCTTTCCTTGTTTTAAAAGTTTCATTGATTCTTGGTGAATTTCACGTCATGCACCCCAACTCCACTCATCTCCCTGTCCCTCCATATCTGCCCTCCACTCTTGCACTCTCTTGCTCAAAGAAAACAAAACAAAAACAGAATCTCAAGGTATGATGTGTCATATAGTGTACTCTTTTGCCCAAAAAGCTTTACTTGCAAATGTTCATTGCAGTGAGTCGTTGGTCTAGTTTGAGGCCTCTGGCTTCTGCTACACTATCAATACTGGATCTTCACTGGAACTCCTCTTTGATATCCTGTTATTGTCCTGTGTCATGGAGATCCTGCAGCTTTGGTTCTGCAGGACTAGCCCCTTCAAGTACTCCCGCAGTTCATAGATGGGGTAGATATTAGTGTAGGCTTTTCTGTGTCCTGTGGCCACTCATTCCCAAGTAAACACACAGAGGCTTATATTAATTACAAACTGTATGGTCTATGGCTCAGGCTTCTTGCTAGCTAGCTCTTACAACTTAATTCAACCCATTCCTATTAACCTATGTTTTGCCATGTGGCTTTGTGGCATTACCTGTTCTCTCACATCTTGCTTCTCCTGGTGGTGGCTTGCATCATCTCCTCTGACTCTTTCTTTCTTTTCTCTCTCTCTCTCTGTCTCTTGGATTTCCCACTTGGCTCCATCTTGCCCTGCCATAGACCAATGCAGCTTTATTTATTAACTAATGGGAGCAACACATATTCACAGCACACAGAAAGACATCCCACACCATTTCCCCTTTTCTGTCTAATCAAAAAGGAAGGTTTTCATTTTAACATAGTAAAATTACATATAACAAAACAGTTATCAAGCAAGAATTATAGTTACAATATCTAGTCTATTTGTATTTGGCAAAATAAAAGAAAATACTCTATCATCTATTTTTGTGAGTCTAAAGTTTTATATCTAACTTACCTTTTATCATGACTAAGGAAAACTGTAACTATAACTATCTAGTCTTCAACTCTATCAAAGACCCAAGAAGGATATAATATTACCTAAGTAAACAGGAAATGAATTGTAAGCAACTTCCAAAATTCTAGGAATGACAGAGACATCTGGCTGCCTAGACAGTCACCCAAATTTCTTCTGCAACTTTGGGGCATCCATCTTCAGTCTACAGGCCTACAGTCTCTGATAGACTTTTTTGCGAAGCAAGAAATTTGAAATATTGTCTCACCTATTAGCAAAGTTCATCATCAGTCACTTTCCTCTGTGTCCTCCAGAATGTCTGGTAATGTATGGTACATCTATTCCCTGAGCTTAGGCTAGAAGCCTTAGTCTGACTCCACCCCCATTCCAAGGCTGGGCCCTATAGGCGGAGGGAAGTTGGAAAGGTCGTGCCCTGTCACTCCTTTCTTACACACGGAAGTTCAGTGACCCCCTTGCCAGGATGCCAGATGCCTGGGTCTCAGGCTTTGTGCTCACCTTGCTCTTCAGCCTGCTCTCCAGTTTCCAATGAGTAAGTGCCAATGAAGTTATATTCAAATGTGACTCCATAAACTGTACCAATGGATTCAGATGCTGTGACAGTGGATGCTACCTAAAGAAAAATAAATGGGATCCTTCAAATGACCCCTCTAGGATCTTGTTTATCCTCTTCATGGTCATGATACCTCTCTTTTACATCTGTGGCTTAGTGAGGCTCTTCTGTTGAAAGTGCAGAGAACCAGAGCAGAATCTCAGAATGAATCATCAGATACCTCCAGAACCACCTTTCATTGCCCCCCTAGACACAATCTGGGTCACCACCTTGGATCCCCCACCACCCTATAGTCAGATTATTCTGAAGCCAACTCCCACAGAACCACCTCCTCCCTACAGCCTCAGGCCTCAGGACCCTGCTGACCAAATGAGAGGCACTGACAACCCAACCTTTGAGTTACCTCATCCACAAACTTCTTGGATCAAGAGTAGGACATTGGAGACTCTGGAATGACTCCACCCATCCCATCATGTCCCTGATCCTTTGATTTAATTTAGTTTTTTTCTACCCCTGTTCCTCCCCAACTGCCCTTTGTCATGAGAGCTGAGCTGGATCCATAGTTTCTGTCATAACTCCCAAGCTAAAGACTGTTGGGGGTGTCTGCAGTGGGATGCAGAGAGATCATTTTTGGTGGAATGCAGATCTTGACTGGACAGCTTGCTCTGCCATCCTACAGAAACACTTCTGTGCCTGGAGGAGACTGAAGATTGAACTGCATGGACTCTGAGCCACCTTTCAACAATACCTGCATAGACAAGACCTCACTGTACCTCCACAGCCACGCACAAAACACACGTACTTGCTAAAGTCTCACTAACTGGTCTCTGTCTCTGGTTGGGAAGTGGTGATGGAGATGAGTTCAGAGGCTAAGTTCCAGCCAACTCCTTCCAATGGTGACTGAGTGTGTTGACCACCTGCCTGAGAGGATTGTGCATCCAAGATGTGAATGAATGCTTTGACCTTAGTTCCCCGGGGCCTGTGGGTACTAAAGAAATGGACCAGAGAGCTCCCTGGATCCTATTTTCATCTCTGATTTCTGGGAGAACAGGACTTGATAAGCATGGGACTCTTAGGAAGACACAGGCCAGAAAACAGGATTCTAGAAGGTAGGGTGGGGAGAAACCATGGAGAGGCAGGTATGGTTAGATATCTGTGGAGTGAGGCCTATGGAATGCTTCCTTCCAGATTCCTCTCAGGAATCTCCTGAAGGAAGAGGGGTGGCAGCCCCCACTCTGCTCTTCCTGCTGAGCCTGGGTCTCACATACTACAGCTTATCCCCACCTACATTGAACCCCTAAAGGGAAGAAAATTCGGTCCTGAGGCTGAGGAGCTGAACAGAGCTGCAGTGCCTGTGGCACAGCTTGGAGCTCCAACTCGCCCTCAGGTGGGGCAGTGAAGACAGGTAGATCCTGGTGCCAATGCTTTGGGGCTCAGCAGGGGTAGGTGCCTCCACCTCATCCTTGTCTTTGCTGTGTGTGCTGCAGTGGACTCAAGGCCAGTCTTCCTCAGACACTAGAGAAGTCCCACAGCTGGAGTTTGACCTGCAGGAGGAGGTCACCTGCCCTTCCCAGGCTGAGGAGTTCGTGGAGTAAGTGGTGGTACCTGGGGCTGGTTCTGCTTCTCTGTCTGATCTTTCAGCTTTCACTCTGATATCTGGCTCCAGGTTTTTATTATAAGACCATTTAGGATTCATGCAACATGTTAGGGTGGGCCAACTCAAAGTCCTGGATCTGGGCCTGGGTGCTAGGTGAGTTGGTCAACCTCCCTGCACTCTTGCTCCCACACCACCAGGGCCAGTTCTTCCATTTTGCCCAGGTGAGGGGTGAAGTCAGTTCCCCTGCCTGTGGCAGCTGGCAAGGGGCAGGACTGGCTTTCCTGGGCTCAGGACATCAGAGACAGCTCTCCCTCACCCTCTCTACCAGGGCCAGCTTTCCAGCTCTACCCCAGCAAGAAGTGGAGCCAGCTCTCCTGCTATCATGCCCTTGGGGCTGGCTCTCCCATCTTTCCTTTCTTATATTCTTATCATATAACATAAAACATACTGCGTCTCTATCAATATTTAAGTATTTTTAAAATTTATAGCGTATTATGTAAGAATAAAAAATATGCACAGACTTTACCTCTTCTCTTGGGGAGGAATCAGTGTGTCTTTGGTTGAGGGTGGTGGTATCCTGTTAGGTACAATTATCATATTATTATGTATTTATTTGCATATTAAGTATGATTTAAGAAATGAATAAAAGTACCAAATTGGCATGGTAGACTTGTGATATTTAAATTCGTGTCAACTGATTGGACTAAGGAGCATGGATAAAGCTGGCAGCACATGACTTCTGTTTCTTCACCGGGCTGGGGAGGGAACCCAGGGCATTGGGAAGGGCTCTACTCTAGCCACACCTCTAGTCTTAAAACATTACTTCTGAATGTATGTGTGTGTGAGAGAGGGACTGTTTTTTTCTTTACACACTGAGTAAAGCCTGTTCTCACTGAGGATGAGCATCATTCAATTTGCTAAGGACCTGAAAGAACAAAAACGTGCAAGCACGTTCTTTCAGAGCTACATCCCTCTTTTGGAGATGAATGAAGTCAAACACTCATTTTTTTCCTGCTCTTGGATACTGGCCTTTTCCTTCTTGGGCTTCAGGATCTGGGGGCTTAATTCATTAGCTCCATTGGCTCTCAGGTCTTTGGATATGGACTGAATCCCCTCACTACCTTTCTTGGGTCTTCAGCTTTCAGACTAAAGATTGAAAGACACTTTTGCTCCCATATTTTCACAAGCCAACGCCTATACTAATGGAAACTTTCACTATCCTATCACTAAGGCAGTGTGTGAACACACAGACTCCTGGGGAAGGATCCCATTCATGGCAACTCAGTCAACACTGTTGCTAGCCCCCTTATCTCTCAGCTGTACAGGTAGGTATTGGTACCACTGTTCACAACACAGCTCTTCTAGCCAGGAGTGGTGGCACATACCTGAAGTCTCACTGCTCAAAAGGCTGTGGAGGAAGAATTGCTTAAACTGAGGAGCTTAAAGTCAGTCTTAGCACCATAGTGAGAGTCCCATCTCCAGAGGGGCGGGGTGGAGGGGGAGGAAGGAAAGATCAGGAGATGTAGGTCAGTTGTAGAGTAGGCCAATCTTGCGTTGTCATGTGTGAGCCCTGGGCGCCATCCTAGCACTACATACACACTGTGCATATGTAAAAGGACAAACTGGCCTGGGAGAGTTGGAGGAAACAGACAAAGATGACAGAGAGATCTGCATCGAATCCTCTGAGATACGACCATCAGTTGTTCCTTGTAAATTAAAAGGGTTTGTCAGATTTGGAGAGCTGGGGCTGTAGGTTGCCTGAGTGACAACCTCTAGAGCCAGAAACAGGGTTAGAGTAACCACAGTCAAGCCATCAACACAACATTTAAACAATAAACACACGTAGAACAAGAACCCCTGGGTTACATGCAAATTTTCAACTCAATGTCTGATAGAGATGCCTGCTGGAATCCTATTGATTTTTAAAATGGGTTTGGTAGTGTTTATCAAAGCTATTTTAGTTCATGGAGTCTACCACTCAGCTTTCCATGGCATCATGTCAGGAGGGGGAGTAAATGAGTGTTCATGTATAAACTGGCCAGCATCCTGACTCTAAATGGAACCAGGGTGGTTGAAACTGACAAACTCAAGTGATTGACAAGACATGAACAGAGCAATTATTTTCAGTATCTCTACTTTGCAATTACCTTAAAATGTGAAAATGGGTAATTAGTTACTACTTCTTTAGTCAATATATATCTATACCCTCAGCGGTTAAGCAGGGCCAAGCCTGGCGGTATTATTCTGAAGGTTTTCCAATGTTTCAGTTAACCTTTGGAATGCCAATGAGCAGCCCAGATTAAATAGAAAGTGTTTTTTATAGATTTCCAGAGATCTTGCACTGTGTGTTGTGTTTTTATTTTTCAATTTAAATGAATCTTTTTATCCTCCCTGATATCTGAAATCTGTGAATTGGATGGCTATATGAATTCCACTGGCAAGTTATCTGATAGGTATTTGTTTGTGTCTATATGCATTTGATACATAGATAACCTTTTATTTGTCTCTTTAACCTAACTTACCTCCAGTCCTACCCAGGAGAAGGTTGTAACCGCGAAGATCCATGGATGGCTCTGTGCGGAGAGGATGCTATGGATACTGGAAGCCACAGTAACACTTTTTACAGCTTTGTTTGTACTCAGGAAAGAATGGCATATGTAAATCTAATTTCCTTCTCAGGTACTGCTAACTGTGATTTGCACATTGTGTGTGTGTGTGTGTGTGTGTGTGTGTGTGTGTGTGTGTGTGTGTTGAATGCACAAGCATGTGTATGTGTAATACACATGTGCCTGTGAGTTCATCTGCCTGTGTGCATGGAGGCCAGTGGATGGCTTTGGGTATCTTTCTCTGTTAGTCTCTTCCTTATGTCTTTGAAGAAGTGTTTCTCCCTGAACTTGGAGCTTGTGGGTTTTTTTTTTTGGCTAGGCTGCAAGTCAGCAATACAAAGCCATCCTCCTGCCTCTGTCCCCTCAGAGGACTGGGGTTATGGCTGTGCACAAAGACCACTCCTGGCTTGTTACGTGGATACTGGGATCTGAACTCAGGACCTCATTACTGTGTAGCAAGTGGTCTTAACCAGTGAGCCATCTCTCCAGGCTTGATTTGCAGATTTTTAACTGAGCACTAAGGGAAAAAAATGCAAGTTTTATCTTTAGAATATAGGCTGTATCAAAGGTAATTTTGTAAAGCATTGACTATCACTTAGGAATTATGAATTAAATATCAGTCAAGATGTGAAGGCATCTTCTTTAACGCTCCTTCCTCACCAGTTTATTAATGGAGACTCAATGCATTGTGTAACACATATTAGCAATAGTTAGCATGGACTAACAAAGACTGACGGAAACATAGCATGCTGTGTAATTAAGTCCTTATGCAGAAATGGTACAGTTCATTTAGAAGAAAGTGCACTACAACATTAATTACCAAGTTCTAAGTACCAATTTTTAGTATGTGTGCTTCCTGTAAGTGCAAGACCCCAATTCCCTAGTTGCTTAATGTGGCACTAATAATTTAAAACTTGAACTGCTTTCATATCATTTTACCTTATAGAAAATAATCCCTTGAAGACAATTTACTTCACATATGCTGATTTCAAACATTTTTAAAAATTTTTCTTTTTTCTGTTTCTATTTCAGGTTCTTTTCTTTTTTGCCTGTCCCTCCTATCCCATTCCTTGTGCCTCTTCCTCTTATTTGGATTCCATAACTAAATAAACTCTCAACTAGAAAAGTCAATTCATATTTCTCAGGTATACTTAAGTCTTCAGTAAGGAAAGTGGGCTTGCGGATGTAGCTCAGTTGGTAGAGTGTTGGCCTGAGCACTCGGATACAGAAAAAGGGCGTGATGGCACATCTGT